CTTTTTGTTCGTTGTCCTCTACCACGCTGACCGGTTGACTGTCTTCGCAAAGTAAGGCATTTACGAAAAAAGACTAAACAAGGGAGGGGGAACGCAAACCCTAACCCTAACCCTAACCCTAACAACCCTAACCCTAACCCTAACAACCCTAACCCTAACCCTAACAACCCTAACCCTAACCCTAACCCTAACAACCCTAACCCTAATCCTAACCCTAACAACCCTAACCCTAACCCTAACAACCCTAACCCTAACCCTAACAACCCTAACCCTAACCCTAACCCCAACTTGGCCGATTCCATACTTTATCCAGTATGCTTGCTTAATTAGAAAAACCTGCGTAGACTGCGACCGGCTGACCAATGAAATTGTATCCCTTGACGGAATTTTCCCACCCGAAGACAATTTTTCGGAGGCTGTGACACAACTCCCACCGTCCTATTGAAGCGGTGGCATCTTTAGGGAATTCTCTATTGCCCCCCCTCCCCCCAGACGCTCCGTCCTCTCTCTCGAGGATGGTCTAACAGCTAAGACATTTTTGCGCCACCCTTGGCAAAGTAGGAAGGAACGATTGGCCATCGGTGATCGGTCCTGTGGGAACAATGCTCCGTCCTCTCGAGGACGTGTGGTCAATGGTCTTACAGCTAAGGCATGCAAAACGTAAGAGTAATGCCCCCCCCCCCCTGACGGTATTTTTCACGCCCAAGGCGCTCTTTCGGAGGCTGTGCCCGGAGAACGGAGGAGAGCGGCGGTTCGCCCCGGTGATGCTGAGCCGGCTGTCGAAGCTGGGCATCGACAAGACAAGGCCTGAGGATCTCACCGACGAAGAAATCAGCCGGTTCGCAAGGTACTAATTTAGGTCATTTTTTGTTTTTATCGTCGTTTAGGAAGTAGTCATTGGTGTCCATATGTTCGCAAGGTACAATTTTAGGTTATTTTTTTTGTTTTTATCGTCCTTTAGGAAGTAGTCATTGGTGTCCATATTGCTGCAACATGCATGCCGGTTGTTCGACATCCTGGACCTGCTTTGACCCGTCCCCTTCCTCCCGACCTTCTCCACCATGAACCTCTTTTTGTCCTGAATACAGGTTCACAGAAAGCCTCCCTTCTTTGCGGGACCTTCTCCATGAGTCGTATCTACACATACAGCTTGATTCTAGAGACTCTTCATGCCAACCCTTCGAGGTGTAGAAAGTTGAGCCGGCAACATTCTCGATCGTGCCGCAGAAGAGAGTGAATGACACAAATCCCCCCGGACATTCTTGGAGCCATCTATGTCAAAGTAGGAAGGAACAATTGGCCATCGGCGATCGGTCCTGTCGGAACACTGTTCCGTCCTCTCGAGGACGCGTGGTTAATGGCCTAACCGCATGCAAAAAATTAGCATCCCCC